AGCCAGCCCAGTGTAGAAAGGTGTCTGTCCTGGGCGGGTGTCACACAGGCTCTGGGGTCAGGGCTGTGCGGGGTTTGGCCTTGTCACTGATGCGTTGCTGTGTTATAGGAGTTGAATGTCACTCTCAGCCCTGCCGGGTGGGAGGTCCATTCTGCTGGCCCCTCCCTCACCACCCAACGCTGCCTGCTGCCCTTGCTGATACTGGACAGCCCAAGAAATAGGCTGGAGAGGAAAAGGCCAGAGCAGGTTGGGGAAGACTTGGAGGCTGCGGCAGCTGGGAGTAGGGGCGTAGAGGGCCTGGGCTGGAGAGGGTGACCCTAGGGGAGGTGGTGGGCTGTGGCTGGTGGCTTTTGAGCTGGGGGGGGGAGCAGTTGTGGAGGCCCCTCCTGCTCCCTGTCTGGCTCAGCTCTGGCTGGCAGCCGTGGGTGTTGAATACAGCTCAGCTGAGCATCCAGCACTGGGGAGGGATCAAGACAGCTCGATGCATGGATGGGCGCGCAGTGCAGGGGTGGCGCAGGGGTGGCGCAGGGGTGTCAGCAGTGATGGCAGCAGGAGGTGGCAGGGGATGAGGTGGGGGCAGAGGAGGCAGCTTTGGAAACAGGGCCTCGGGGGCCCAGTTGAGAGAGGCAGAGCAGCATATTAGAGGTGGCCTGGAGCAGGGATAGGTCGCCCGTCCCTTCTCTGTGCAGGCCACCGTCATAGGACACCAAGAAATTGGGCTGGCGGGCTGCCCACCCATATGGGGAAACTGAGGCTCAGGAGAGCAGGCTGTCCAGAAGCTAGCTAGTCAGAGCTGGGGTTCCAGAGCCCAGCATTGGAAGAGGGCAGCAGGGGATAATATGACAGATCCTTGAGGCTGGGGACCCCCATCTGCCCCATCCCCAGAGAATCCTCGGACAGGAAGGGAGGATACCTGAGGAGCAGGAGAACACGCTTAGTCTCTACTGCCCCGGGGCCTCAGTCTACTTCTCAGTGAAATGGAGACAGCCTCGGGCTACCTGTCAATGCTTTCATCTTTGGTGATGAACCCCGAGGTTCCAGCACTCAGAGGAAATGGAGGGGCCCCAGGAAAACTACCTTTTAGCTTTTGGACCTCTGGTTACTCTCAGTCTGTGCCTCATTTTCCCTCCTGCATGGGGATCCCAGGTCTTCCCGGGCCATGCTGGCACAGGGTATCGGGGTGCTGTGCCTCCCCACTTCTCTCCTCCCTGTACTCTGTTCCCCCACTCCCCTACCCTGGCTCCCAGAACCCCGGAGGGCTGCTCTGATGAGAGGTTCATTTTCCTTTCATTGTGCAGGTGACAGACCCTGCTGCCAATAATCTCCTGTGACAAATCAACACTGAAGTCCAGTGGCCCCCTGGCCCTGACGGAATCCAAGTAGATCGAAGTGGAAAAAACCCAGGGCCTCTGGGGGTGGGGCCTGGAGGGACCACCACACCCAGCAGGTGCATCGGGAGGGGCCCACCTTCTCTGTCACCCTCGTAGTCTGCCCAGAAATCCCCTCCCTCCTCATTCTTCAGGATGCTCTGAAGAAGCAGGGTGACAGGTCTGGCTGCAGTGCCAGGAAGAGGGACCTATCCTGAAGGGGATCCTGAAATGCCTGGGACAACAAGGAGCCTCCCAAAAATGGGAGGGAATCCAATTTCCCTCCTTGTCTCCCTGTCTCCGCAGCATGGGGCTTCCAGGGCAGGTCTGGCCGGCCTCTGGGGTCCCAAGTCCTCAGCCCGTCGTGGGTGAAGGATGTGAAGAGGGCTAGAAGTGGGAGCGGTGTGCCACTCTCTGGATAGGCAATCTCACAGATGAGTGGGAGACCCCGAGCCTGGCAGGAACTCTGACCTGGGGGTCGGGGGTAGGGGTGGGCAGAATTTCCCCTAATGGTCTCATTTTGTGCCTCTTCCTCATTCTGGGGGCAGGGGACCTGTCTGCACTGATGCATTTTTCAGATGAGGAAGCCACCAAGAAATCAGCATCCCTGGCCTCTGAGTCAGTGCTGGGCACCGGGCAGCGGTCAGTGGAGGGGTGGGGGTGAGTGGTTGAGGTTTTCCTGGCTAAACAGCAAAATCCTCAGAGACGGAATCATCCACTTTGGAAACACAGCTCAGGTGTGGGAAACAGCCTGGACCAAGGCTGCATGGCTGTCCTGCTTTAGGCGTCAGTAACAAACCTCTGGACTGTTTCGCTTAGTTGGGTCCCATGGACGCAAGAGTGTGAGTAGAGCAGAGTGCCCAGCTGGGCTGAAGTCTCCCTGACTCCACGGCTGCATGGCAGGACCCAGACGGGCAGGGATAGAAGCCCAGTACCGTGACAACCTGCCGCTGTCCTGGACAGCAGTACAAAGTGGGTGTCCGTGGGGAAGGAGGGGCTGAGCCCCCTTAAGCTCTTGGGGCTCTCCATTCCCCGCTACCGACGCTGCCCAGCATGGCTGAGGGGTCTATCCTTGTCATTCCCCCTTTGCGTCTCGGCCTCTGTCTCTCCCTCTGCTTGTAGACTAGCTTCACACGGACATTTCAAGCCCCCCTCTCCCCAGCCCTATTCAGCCTAGTGATCTTGCCCATGATCCCTTGCCATATCTCAGTTGAGTTCACACCCATGGTTCGGAACCTCGGGGTCTTGTGCACGTGTTGAGAGCCTGCAGGTGTTGACGCCTTGCAGACAGGTGGCAGTCCTGGGACCCCTGGGACCCCAGCGCTCTTCACCCTGCCGCCACCCTGACTCCGCCTTCTGCAGGCTGCGAGGCTCAGCCCCCCTCCTGCCCACCCTATTCTCCTGCTTGAGATCCCCGGGTTGATAGTGTCTCACCTGGATGTCTGGCTTTTGAGAAGTCACCCCTGTCTGGATGTGGTTGTGTGGTTGTGACAGAGAGGGACAGAGGCATCTTCTAATGGCAGGCACCTAGGGATGGGGCAGTGGGCTTCCCAGGACAGTTCCAGGGGCCAGGCGGCTTGATTCCTCCATGGGGTGGCCCATGTGACCACAGGACCTCACGGAGGGGGGGGGGACAGGATCCTGAGGGAGGGGAGCTTTGCTGGCTGGCTTCGGGAAGAGGTATGGGGGAAGTGAGTGGAGGGAGGGGCAAGGGCTCCCAACACTCCCCTGGTGCCACACCGGGTCCCGGCTCCTCCTTAATGCCCCACCTGTGCCCAGGCATTTGTCAAGGAAGGCCAAGGTTGAGAGACCTTTCTGCTCCAGCCAGCCCTCCAACCCCATCCATTCTTCCCTGATGTGACAGGGCAGAAGAGGAGTGTGTGTGTGTGTGTGTGTGTGTGTG